GCATATTAAGGTATAAATATGCTAAGTTGTATGCCCAATGAAAAATATTAAAATGTTAAATTCAGAAATTAAGAATTACCAAATTTTCTAACTGAAGTATTAAAAGTGCAATTTTTATGAAGTCTTGCTACCCTATAATTTTCTCTACTATTTTCTGGTGAAAATTATTATTTTTACCATTAGAAGGATTGGAGAATTATTGAGCACTTTATTTTATTTGTAGGAAGTATTGTAAAAGAAGTTAAGAATTTTGATATAGAGCAAATAAAACTATAGGAGAAAGAGGGGTCTTGAGGTCAAGTTTCTTGGAAAAAAGATTACCGAAAAAAGAAAGCAATGATATTGGAAATGTTTATCAACAGTAGTGTTTTAGAGTTCTTTCCTTGCTCTTGAATCATCCACTTGTCACTAGATAAGCTTCTGACATTTTACAATAGGAGTGAAGCAAGAATAGTTAGCAACTTAAATTACCCAGTTAAATTTTTAAAATGTATTTTTCACATATATTTTTGGTGTTCCAAAAATATTTACTATGGTATTTAACAATATTTTTAATCTGCAATCCGTTTTATCATCCTTGATTAGTCATATTATTTTAATTATTTGTGGAAAATACTTAAATTAGTCAAATTAACATTCCCATCTGCATTACCTTCTTTATGAAAAGTTTGTTAGCTTATCAGAACATGACTATTTGTTAGTAAATTATACACTAATACAAAGTTAAATTCTGTACAACTTTGTTGGGAGCAAGTCAGGAAGAATTTTGGCATTCAGTGGAATTATTTAATTAAATATCTTTTTCTGTGAATATATCTACATTTATTTGATTGATAATTAGATTCAGAAAAATAGTAAAAAGTATTTTCAAATATACTCTTCTACCCCAAAACTGTCACTGCTAAGCATGAGTTCACTGTCAGATCCACATATCTCTTAAACAGGCATTAATTCACTGAGTAAATATTGGTTAAACACTTTCTTTGTACCAACCACTGTTTTAAATGTAAATACAGGAGTGAAAACAAAACAAATCCCTGATTTTGTGAAGCTAGAAAATAATTAACTAAAAAAGGAAAATAAACAGTATGTTAGATAGTAATAAGTACTAGTAAAGAAATAGAACAGGGAGGATTTAGAATATTGGCAGATTTTTCATTTTTAAATAGGTAGTCAGGAAAGGCTCCAAGGAAAAAGTGACAGGTGAGTAAAGACCTAAAAAAAGACACTGACCAGTTTTGAGTAGGAAATGATATTATCTGACATAATTTAATAGGCTAGTTCTGGTTGCTAGGTAGAAAATATATTGAATGTGCTAAGGACAGAGCAGAGGCTAGATTTAAGAGTGCTGGCAATAGAGATGGTGAAAATTTGTCACTCTGGATGTATTTGAAGGTTATCACATTGAAGATGGATTGTATGTGGGGTGTGAGATTAGGAGATGAGTCATAATGCCTGTAAGTGTTTGACTTGAGCTATTTGAAGGATATAGTTGCTACTTATTGACTTGGAAAACTCTGTGGAAAATTTTTCAAGGAAGACCAAGGGCTCAGTTTTAGACATACTAAGCTTGAGATGCCTAAACAACCAAACAAATGGATAGATAGATGGATTGATACATAGATATATAAAGAGATACATAGGTAAATATGCAATTGATATATACATAGATACATAAATACATTTGCAGTTCAAGGGAAAAAGATAAGCTGCAGTTATATATTTATGAGTCGTCAATAGGCAGATGATACTTAAAGCTATAAGATTCCATAAGGTAAATGACCACAGAAGGAGAGAAGTTCCAAGGACTGATTGGTGACAGTCCACACATAGTCAGATAATAAAGAAGCAGCAAGAGAAAAGGAAGAAACCAATGAAATGAGTTTTCTTTTAAAAAAGTATGTATTATCCTGGAACTCAAATAGCAAAAGTGTTTTAAGGAAGAAGATGTGCTTAACAGTGGGAAATATTGCTGATTTACTGAGGGAGCAAAGCGTGACAGTTGACCTTTGGAATTAGCAAGGTATTTGTCACTGTGTCACTGGTGACTGCAGCACGTTCATATAGTGGGAAGTGATGGAGGCAAATGCCTGAATGCAGTGGATTTAGAATAGAATGAGAAAAGGAAAATGTGGCATGACAACATGAACATGATGAAAGGAATGAGAGAAGTGGGATAGAAGCTGTAAAAGATAATGAAGGGAATAGAAGACTTTTTTTTTTGGTTGGTGTGTGCGTGTGCATGTGCATGTGCACGTGTGTGTAAGTAAATAAAGAACATGGTTCAGTATATTTTCTTTAAACCCAGAAATTCTCTCAATGTTTTTGTTTTAGGATATCTCAAGTACATACTTTGTCTATTCTGAAATTAAAGTCATAATACTGTGATGCAAACAAAAGTTCTACTAGAGATCAGCATATATTACTAAGATACATACATCCTACTTATTTGAAAATTCATATGTAACATAAGCATTGTAACAAATCATGTCAATGAGTAATTGTCAAGAAGTCTTGACAATGTACAGTCTCTCCCAGTGTAACAAGGTTCATCACTTATTTTTTTCATGGGTTTGTATTCACATTAAATTTCTCTCTCCAAATTGTTATGAAAACTTACAAAAATATTTTTGCACTATTATGTTCAAGGCACTATCCTAAATATGTTACATATCTCATGGCTACTCTTCACTATAGGCTTACAAAATAGATTTTATTAATCTGTTCTAAATAAGAGTCCTGGTGATCAGCAATTCAGTGACTTTCCTGAGCCTTGATAGACATGACTGATGGAGCAGGGATTCAGTCCAGATATGCTTAGTTCCAAAGCATATGACCTTTAACCTTTACTGCTTTTTAACACTATACTTACTGAAAGACAGGGACTAACTTATGAGAAACACTTCTTTTGTATACTGAGTAGAGCTAAGTACAATGAAAGGCAACTAACATGACTTTACTCTTCATAAAGCTGTTAATTTGTCTAAGAAAAAATAATATATTTGTTACAACAAACAGAATCATTTTTCTCACGTTTACAAATTTAAACTGTTAATAATCATGATGCAAAAAAGTGTAAACTAATTTAATTTTTTTCTTTTAAATGACTTGCCATCATTATGAAACAATTTACCAAATTATAAAACTAAAACAAGACAAAATAAAATCCAGTTCTACTGACAAGTTTAAGATTTGAGTGCAGTAAGCTGCACATCGATGGTGTTGATTGTGCAATAAAAGCTGGTGAGGAATCCAAAATTAATCCTTTATCTAGCCTACTGATTTCTCTAAAGGTTTGCCACTGGAGATGCAATTACCAGGACTCTTACTGTTCAAATATAAGATTCTGAAACAAAATCCTTATCTCTAAAGAATGCTGGCTTTCTGCAAGCTTAATTATTTTTGCAATTTAATTAATATCTAAAAATGTAAGTCTCCATGTCTTAGTTTCAAATAAAATTTCAATAACAGAAAACTTAAATGTACAGGGAATATAATTAGAATCCCATCAGTTTCTCATTACTTCAAGGTGGATTTTGTGTCAAAATTTAGACACATACCAAAAAAGACAATGTCCAGTCACATTTTAGAATCTTGGTCTTTGGAAATCATTTATCTATTTAATATCCATTCCATTTATTGTCTTATTCCCCTTGATTTCATTCTATTTTCCTTATATGTTTTAAATTTTCAGAAATGAGACATTGCAACATCAGCAAGTTCTGGATGACAATTTTATTTTTTAGATTTGTCTTATCCTGTGTGATATAAAAAAATCCAAAAATTTAACTGAGATAATTAAATTGTAACATGCATAAAATTTGTAAGTTGAAATTCTATTGTACATAATATATATTCATCATTTATATATGGCTCCAGTGGTACTATAGAAAAAGAATATGATTTAGAGTTGTGAAGAAATGGTTTTGAGTCTCATACATCCCGCTTATGACCTGCATGAACTTGTAAAAGTTCTTTACCTTTCATTTCCACCTGTAAATAAAAGTTGATATTGCCCAACTAATGTTATAATTACTAAATAAGAAATCACATAGTATCTTGTTGGCAATTAAAAGCAAGTAAATAATTTCTTCTCTTTCCCTCTTATCTATAAACACAGCTAGAACATAGATAAATGGAATCAGTGATTGAATTTTATTTTTAGGACAATGGCAAAAAACTTATTCAACATGCCTGTAAAGCAAAATAAATATATACTTTTATTAAAAATGTCAATCTTCCTCATAGTGAATTAAACTACTTGTGTTTTTTCAAACTTTTGAAAAACTGAAAACGTTTGTAATATTGTACATACACATGTATATCTACAATATACATGCATATTTTTGTGTTGATTTTTTAACCTAGGATATAAGTTCTTGTTTCCTTAGTGAAACATCTGTAATATGAATTTAGAGATAGAACATATTAAGTGAGATATTCTTTACAGAAACTTAAACACTGTGGTTTTGAAATATGTAATCTTTTCATAAAAAGTGAAATATTCATATTTCAAAACAAATCAATTCTAAATTATTTTCAAATGACTAGATTTTATCACATATGCTAAATATTATTTTTAATAACTTTGGTGCTTTTTGCTTGCTGTTTTCTACAAACACTGTTAAAACCCTATGAAAATTTGTATATTTAAGAAAGTGCATGAAGAGAAAAACCTAGACATTTTGTCATGTAAGCTGAGAAGGTGAGCACTGAAAATTTTACCTCCTGACAATGGTCAATGTTAGGAAGAAACCTAGAACCTACTAATTATTAGCTACCATTTAAACTGAATATGAAAGATGCAGTGTATATTTTCTACTGAAACAAAGTATATAAAATATACTTTAAAGTATATTATAACGTATCCATCTTACTCATCATAAAATTAACATTACAAACCAGGAATATATTTTGATATAGACTTGTTAGCATTTAATCAAGTGATCAATAATCTTTGGGGCAGAAAAGAGAAGTTTAAATAAATAAATAAAACTCACCTTATCCACAATACATATCTGCTTTCTGGTGTGAGCATCGAGAATTTCAATCTCAAAGTGAGTAGTTTTTACATGTTTAACTGCTGCAGCTGATCTTAGAGGGCCTGCTGAGAGTATAAGTTGCGACAAAGAGTGAAAATTTCTCAAGTCATTCTTCAGTATGGACCGTGTAGCTCTTGAGGAAATTAATTCTCTCTTGCGTTCTGAAGCAAGGGACTTGTGCCTTTTGAACATTGTGTGAACTACCAGAATCTGTCATGTCAACAGGAAACACTTGCAAGTGTGTTGCCTTCGAACCAGTTAAATACTGCTCGTGAAACCCAGAAAGGTCAAGTGGCATGCCATTCCAAGAGTTCAGTTTTATTTAGCAGGCTTGAAAACAATGACTGATCTATTTCTATATATAACGCAGTATTGTGGATTGCTGCAATGTAGATTACTTTACCAGCATTCAAATTATTTCTCGCTTTCTTCTTTTATCTCTGCTTTTTAATATGGCCACTAATATCTGAAATTCCAAAGCAAGAAAAGAATAGACAACAGTTTTCATTATCTCTGAATTCTGGAGGCACTAATCTTCAAACACATATATTATTATTCACAATTCACATTTAGACATATTTAAAATTAGCACAGTGCTATCTTCTGGTTAAATTTAATAACACTTAGTGCATTACATAACATACTTTTTTTTGTAAATGTTTCCTATGATAAAGATTTGTACCATGTTTTTAATACATACATAAACATCTGATACAAAATGGATGAATTCTTCATGCTAAACAGGGAATAGAAAAATGGCAAATCATCTATGAGACTGGAATATATAGAGAGATATTTTATAATTTAAGAAAAAGGAAGTAAGTCTTATTTTAACATTTCTACACACATTATATCATTGGGAATCATTAAATTTATATACAAAATCAGGACTAAACATCACACTTTTCACAAAACTAAATTATGGTGAATTCAAATAATCTCAGAATGAACAATGAAAAATTATAAACAACCTGGGAAGAGGGGTTTGTGGAAAAGACTTCAAGTACTTTGTGACGTGTATAACTGATGAAGAAACAACCAGGAAACATCCAAACTATGTCGTCTCTGACTCAAAGGGATACTGTAGGAGAATATTCTGGGATGTTATCATCAATGAAAACATGAAAAGAAAATGGCTAAAATTATAGAGGGAGAAATCTATATATCTACCTGAGTTAATCTTTACTTTTATAATTAAATAAGATAATGTAATATTTATTTTTAATTGCACTACACCTTATGCACTGAAGATTCACTTACACGTTGTTAGGTTATCATTTTCATGTATAGACCACTATGACAGTCAGTATTTAATATTTAAGAAAATAAAAGACAGGAAAATAATGTGTATATATATTTGCACCTACACCTACACATGTTGTCAGTTTTATCACCCCAGTTGTTCAGAACTTTAAACTTGGCATCATCCTTAATATCTCCCTTTCTCCCACACCTCAGATTTAATCCCTCAGAAATCGAGAAGCCAATCTTGACGCCATACCCAGAGCTACCTTCAAAGTGTTAATCTCACCTGTATTGCTTTTCCAAACTGGTCTTTCTGTGTCAACACTTGCCAATCTGTAGTCTTTTTTTAACACAGCAGCTGAAGTCATCAGGCTCTATACTAGAACTGGTAATACAATAATCTGCTCAGCATTCCTATTTTATTTAATAGAAAAGCCAGAGTTCTCTGAAAAGTCTACACAACTCTGCATCATCAGCATTTTGTTATATCTCCGATTTCATCATCTAATCTATCCACAGTGCCCAGAACAGTGTATGGAATGCAGTGCCCAATAAGCATGTATTAAATAAGTAATCAATTAATAAATAATCAATAAATGTATCATGAAGGTGTAGGCAGAATGCTAATTGCTTGCAGAGGTGAACTATTTCATTGTATCAAAATAACATTACTGCACAATCCATTTATCTTCAGAGATGGTTTATATTTAAAAAAAAAAAGGAATAATGGAAGGACACGTGTGCCAAACTGAAAGAGCTCCCATCACCAATGCTGGAATTATTCAAATAAGAAAATAAATACTGAATGACAAGACATTCTAACTTAAAGAATATGCATATCCATGAATCCATACTGTTATAAATAAATAATTGAATAAATAATAAATAAATGAATGTGGACAAGATATGACATTTTCTTACATAAGAGTCCCAAATATTATATGCAGATATTCTCTCCCTGAGTATGGGTTTTACTTAAGTAACACACTTACAAAAAGGAATGAGTGGAAAGGGAGAATAGAAACTTTTTAGTGGAGAAAACTGGCAGGCAGACAGCATTTTGACCTAGAGGCTAAGTCTAATATCACTGGGAAGAGTCATGTTGATATCATGTACCAACTGGTATCTTGAGATGAGGACAATTCACCTCTGCAGTTTATTTCTAAAAGTTCATTTCCTCCGTCTAACCAGGAGAAAACAACAGACAGACCAAATTGAGGGACAGTCTGCAAAAATACCTGATACCCTTCAAAACTGTCAAGAATATGAAAAATGAGGAAAAATTGAGATAATGTGACAGATCAAAAGAGACTATCTAAAGACATGACTGAAAAATGCAATGAGGTATTCTGAGTGTTTTCTGGAAGAAAAAATAAATTCATGGAAGTTGATGAAATATGAATAACATCTATAGTTTAATTAGTAGTATTACGCCAAGGTTAATTTCTGAATTTTGATAAATATGAAAGATTTTTAAATTAGGGGAAACTGGGTAAAAAAAATATACAAGAAAACTTCTGTACTTTCTTTCAATGATTTTGTAAAATTATTCCAAAACAAAAAGTATAAAGTAAGCACACACCCACAACGGAAAGGAATGAAGAAGGAAAAAAAAAAAGGGTAAATGGCACTATTCAAAAGGAGAAAATTGCAGATTTTCATCTGTGCCTATCACCTAAGTTAAATATTTTGGAAAAGAATAAAAATTATTTCAAATATTATGTTATTTATTATTTCACTTTGTATTTTGGAAGTAGTTTAAGAATAAAATGTTTTTTGTTTGCCAAGGTGTTCTTATAAGATGCTAAACAGATCATAATAAAATAACACCCTGAATTACTACTTGTTTAATACTAGACCTGGGAAACCACTTTAAGCTAGATTGTAACTTAAAATATATTTAAAATTGAGAACTATTATAAAATGATGCAGTGTCAAGTAGGAATCTTTATTCTAATTGCATTTATTTATAATAAAATGTAAAGAGGATGATAAGAATATCATTGTTCTTTACCCTCATTTTTTTTTGACAGAAAGCATATCATTTCAATTTATTTTCCATTTAAAGTGCTACTTCTTATTAGATCATTTTACATAATTAATCGACATTTTTAGAGCAGTTTTAGTTTACACAATTGATTGTTTGAAAGTGCAGAATTCCCATGTATGGACTTTCTTCTCACCAAATACACAATTTCTCTCATCATTAATATCTTGCATTAGTGTGAAACATTTGTTACAATTGATGAATTAATGTTGATAGATTATTTATGAATTAAAGTCCACACTTTACTTTAGGATTTAGTCTTTGTGTTTTATAGTTCTATGAGTTTTGACAAATGGATAAATTCATGTATTCACCATGATGCTATCATACAGAATCGTTTCACTGACCTGAGACTGTCCTGTGCTTCACCTATCCTCCCTCCCTGCACTCCTCCTGAATTCCTGGCAACTGCTGATCTTTTTATTGTCTTAATAATTTTGCCTTTTCCAGAATATCATTAATTGGATTCATACAGTATGTGGTGTTTTCTAAGACTGGATTCTTTCATTTAGCAATATGCATTTAAATTTCCTCCATGCTTTTTCATAGCTTGCGAGCGTTTAAAAAAAATCACTGATAATACCCCACTGTATGGATGTACCACAGTTTATTCATTCATCTATTGAAAGACATCTTGAATCTTGATGGCTGCTATGAACATTTGTGGGCAGATATAATTTCCAATTTGTCAGGGTAAAAAAATTAGGAGTGTGATTGCTTGATAAAATGGAAAGCCTATGTTTAGCTTTGTAAGAAATTATCAGACTGCCTTCCAAAGTGCTTGTACCATTTTGTATTCCCACCAGCAATGAATGAGAGTTCCTGTTGTTCTACATCCTCAACAATGTTTGGTGTTGCCAGTGTTCTGGAATTTGGTCATTCTACTAAGTGTGATGTGGTATCTCATTGTTTAAATAAGCAATTCTCTAATGAAAAATGATGTAGAACATCTTTTCTTATGCTTATTTTCCATCTTTGTATCTTTGGTGAGGTGTCTGTTTAGATCTCTTACATGTTTTGTAATTACTTTTTTTTCCTCTATGTTGAGTCTTAAGAATTCTTTTTATATTTTGGATATAAGTCCTTTATCAGATATGTTTTTTCCAAATACTTTCTTCCTGTCTGGCTTGTCTTCTAATTCTCTCAAGAGTATCTTTTGCAGAGCAAAAGTTTTTAATTTTAATGAAGTCCAGCTTATTTTTTTTCATTCATGGATTGTGCTACTGGTGTGTTATCTTCTTAAAATTATATGGTTTTACATTTATATCTTTGATCCATTGTGAATTAATTTATGTGAAAGATATAAGGTATGTGAATAAGTTTTCCTATTGCATGTGGATGTCTAGCTTTTCCAGTACCATTTGTTTAAAAGACTAATCCTTTCTCCGTTGACCTGCCTATAATTGCTTGATTGTATTTGTGGGGTTCTATTTCTAGGCTATTTATTCTCTTCTATTGATCTGTCTATTGTTTTGCCAACACCATGTGGTCCTTATTATGGTCGCTTCAAAATAAGTCTTGATATCTGATAGTGTCACTCATCTGACTTTGTTCTTCAATACTGTAAGGGATATTCTGGGTCTTCTGCTTCTTAGTTCAGTTGTTATCAGAGATACTCCATGTGCTTCCAAAATTACATTGTGGATTTTCTAAATTATAGTCTCTCACATTTGAATATCTTCATGTTAACGATGACTATTCTCATAAGATTTAATATTGGGAATCTCCAGAATTGATACACCTTTGCGCTGAGTCAATGGCAAAGGTGCAAAAGTAAAGGACACCATGCCTATCATTGGATAAATTGTTCTTGTCCATTTTTCTAGAGAGTCGTTCAATAGTCTGTATTTACATTTTTTGCCAGTACTTTAAGCAACTGATGGAAATTGTAATTATCCATACATGTTTGTGACATTTAACCAGTGACTGTGTCACCCACCAGAATATAAGATTCAT